TATTCCAACCAAGTCATAACGACTTAGAGTCAAATTCGGCATTCAATGCCACATTCGCTTCCTCTTCAAAAGAAGACGGGTACACACGAAAGGCTTACACTCTGGGCGGAGGCCTTACCGCCTCAAAGAGAGGATCGGCTGCCATACCGGCAATGAGAGTACGCAACTCTTGGACAAAGTCAACCAATTCCTCCTTGCCCTGTTGGATGACAAGGAATCGCGATCGCTTGCGATATGCCTGGTTAGGCGGTGCTAACACTCATAAAAAATGCAGTTTCAGCTTTGTCTAGGAGGTCAACGCCGCTTCAACCGAAGTGCCGAACATCAGTGCCCATTCTCGCGCTCGAACACCAAGCTTTGAGATGGCTAGCGTCTCGCTTGGTCTGGAGCATGGCGGATGCGATGGCCAGCTCGACATCTTTCGCCGAGAGCAGGAGATTCTCTCCACCCTTCCCTTCAAAGGCTTGAAAGCTCCCCATGAGCGGCTTAGGGCGGGGAAAGTCATCCATCACTGACAGTGGCGGCATAGACGCAAATGAAACAGACATCTTCTGCTGTGGGTGCATTAGCAGCGTGTATCGTAATTTGAAAACGCCTCTAGATGCGCACCTATTGCCTCGGGGCCTAGCGCAGCAAGGTGTTGCACGCCCTTAGGGCCCAGCAAGGACATCAGCTTGTTAAGCCCGTCCTGCATGCCCTGGGGCAAAGAGGAATATTGTTCCATCCTCACTCCTCAAGAGGATCAGTCTAAACGACTCAGGGGTAGATTGACCACAAGTGCCATCAAGTGCTGCGGGGCTGCCGTAGCTTAGCGCTTGAGGAAGCAAAATTTAGGTCACCGACCCTGCGTTCTTTACAAGAACCAATACGAGTGTTGCGGATCGCAATCCGCTACTCTCAAAAGTAGTTAGTACCTGAACCAAGGCTAATAAACTCTCGGTCTAAAATTATAACTAAGTTTTATTTATTTTTATCTGCGGCAAAGTTGCCAAATTTAAATGCATAGATTTTATTAAATATATATAGTACAATCTAAATACATGCATAACTACTGGCTGTCTAGCCCCGTACCGTATTCTTGTTTGGGTGTGGTCACACCTTGACCATCTGGTGTGACACACACCCCTGTTACCAGGGTATGTGTAACCCGATTACATCGTCCCACATCTATTTTGTTTTTCGCGTGCATGAAGCATTCATCAGTATTTTAAGAAATTCGTCGCTGTATATAAAAGCATATATATGAAGTTTAGAGTTACAATAACTACGATGTAGTATCACACGTTGGAAGTGAACGGACCCCACCACGGTGTGCGACAACTCGCACATTCTATGACTGTTGAGAGGGAGTGCAGAAAAAACCCCTGTCTAAGCAAAGCAGTTCCACACTAAGTCGCACGCGTAGACATGCCACGACAGGTCGCTTTTTA